CGCGACCCGCGTGGGTGAGTCGCCCCCTCGGCCCCGTAGGGAGCCCCGAGGGGACGGGCGGAGGCAGCACCTGCCGGCGCTGCCCTGTGATGCTCCCGCGGGCACGGGCAGGCGTTTGGTGCACCGGTACCGCCGGTACAGAGAGCTGCTCTCTTCGTTCTCTCTGCTCGTGCTCCAGCCTCTTGGATACCCAAATCTCCATCCCTCACACAGGTCCTCTAATTGCATGTATTGGAATTCACCTGCTAGGATTTGGTCTTTGGGGAAGTGCTTAATTTTAAGAGGGCATCACAGGTCTTTTCTATACTACAAGAAGCTTCTAGACAGGCTTCATCTGTAGCATGAATCAATTTCTGAATGTCACATCTGCCTAAGGGCAAATTTAGAAATGTTCCTTCCACTTCCCTTACCAGTGTTTTTCATCATGGATGTTTGTTTTCTGTGTGGTCAGAGGTCTTGCATGAGGCTCCTACAGTTTTTCTGAAATCACAGACTGTCATCTGTACATTTTTTGTTTCTTTGTGCCCATCTGCAGGAACTGGGATCCTGTCCTCGCAGCCAGAAGAAAATCCCCACTGGTGGAATGCAAACATGGTGTAAGGAGGGACAACGGAGGGAAATAGCTTTATACTTAAACAGCATCTCCTGCCTTTTAGGCTAGCAAGAATGCTGCAGAGACAGGTTAAGACTAATACTTGGGAAAGGAAATTTTTTGTTTCCATGTTCGTTGTAGTTCAGCTTGCTAACAAGTAGGGCTGACAAGGTCCAGAGAAACTTACGTTCATGCTCCTTGGAGTTGTGGGGGGATCTAATGGAGAAAACCTGGGGATAGCTAGAGAAGCCTTCTCAAACAGCTGCAGTGGCAAATCCATCGTGAGTGGTGAGCTGGTAGTGTGTTACACATCTGCCAACTGGAGAGGAATGTGGAGCAGCTCTTCTAGTTCAGAGAAGAGGTATGAGAAAGACACCAGTTTATATATGCATTTGTATAGGAGGGATGTTAATTTGCCTTCTGCAAGACAGAGCAAAAATGGGAAGATAATGCCTGCAAAAACCTCCAGTGGTTGCAGTCGGCATTTACATTGCGCTGACAACAATCTTCTCATTTTCCAATTTTCCATGTGCAAAACCAAAGCACACAGAGTTTCCCTGTGGCAGACCATCCACCATATTGGCAGGATAGCTGAGAGCAGAATCCTGGCCCATCGCTGTGTGCACTGAGCTCAGTGCTTCAGTTAGATTGATAAAAGACATGTTGTGGATTGATTGAACTCAGTAAAACTACCAGTGCTCAGGAGGAAATACAAGACAGTTATAGTTGTTACTTGGTGTGCAGAAAGGTAAGTTGTCAAACTGGACAGAGACTCTTCCCTTTTCCCCTTTCCAGGGTTTAGTTTTCTTCCAGTTAGGTGACCCCATCCTCACCCCCGTGCGTGTCGGAGGCACAGCAGGACTCACGCAGCTCTCTCTTACAGATTCATCCCCTATTGCTCAAGTGATGTTTGGAGCGGGGCCTCTTCCAAGTCTGAGAAAAGTGAGTGTTGCTGATGGGCCGTTGCTGCCCCAGACATCACACATTAAAGGATGTGGCCAGACTTCTGTGAAACCACGTGAACGAAGAACAGGCTTTTTCTTGCTGAAGGGCAGGAAAGAATATCAAGCTACTTCCAGATAAAACATCCTGATCTCTTTAGCTTGGGCTGTTTTGACATAGTTCAGAGCCACTGCTTGAAGAGATGTTACACTGGTGCAGTATGCAAGGATTAGAGGAACAAAATTCCTTTTAGATGAATCTCCAGGTTCTAGCACACAGCAAATTAATTGGCATGGCTGAGGCACTGTGGCCTGTTGCACATGGCTTTGGCATGGCTGGTCTGAGTGGGAGGGCTGTGAATTTAGTGTCAGACTTCTATCACGAGGATATTTGGCCTTAGACAGGAGCCATCATGTGTCAGGCTAAAGCTGTCTGCAGGTTTCTTTGGGAAACAGAGAACAGTTCATCTTAATACACTCATAGCCATCAGCTGTTGTTCTGGTGTTGTCACAGTAAGAGACCTTTTCACTTCATCCCAGCTCCTTGGGGCTGTTCCTATGGAGCAGTTACGCTGCTGATGCTGAGGAAGCAGTGTCTGCTTAGGTGTCACATTTTGGGAAGCATTGCTTGCCTGAATTGGCTTGAGGATTTGGGAAGAAGGGGAAGCAGTAAGTTGGAACTGAGATTCCAGGTAGTGAGAAGGTGTGTGTGTCCCTCCTGTGTTGGTTCACTCTCATGGGCCAGCATTTAGGTTCATAATCCCCCTGGAAGGTTCTTGAGTATTTTTTGGGAGGATATGATATTCTGAGCCTGAACAGGAAACAGTTTTGTTGACACTGAGCTATCTCTTCTAGATGAATATGCCTTCATGGGAGCACTGATCATTCAGGAGGTTATAAAGGAGCTGGTGGGAAAAGGTCTGAGCACTGCAAAGGTGTTGCTGCTGGCAGGAAGCAGGTAGGTATCCATAAGATTCCCTTTGATGAAGACAGGAGATTTCCACAGTAGAAAGCTGTTAGGGAGGAGGTCTCAGCAGCTCCTGAAACATTTTGTCCAGGAGTACAGTAACACTAACCCAGCAAACCCTGTATCTCTGCTCATTTTTCTCCTGTAACTGGTACAATGGGGAAGATATAGTATTACTTCCACAGCTTCTGGTGCAGGTTCTGCTAAGAGAAAATAAAAACAAGGCAAAAGCTTTGCAAGAGGGAGGAAATGTGTTTATTCTTCTGTGCATCAAGAATTCTGGTTCCTGCTGGCCCACATCATGGGACACACACCTCCTGCAAATAGATTCAGGACACCTGAATTAGAAACCAGACTTGCCTCACACAGGTGCTCTGGATCACCTTGTGTTGCACAAAGCTCTGGTGCACTCAGCATATGCTCCACATGGGTGTAATAGAGAGGTTGCAAAGGGTGAATTTGTCTCACTTCAGATTCTTTCAGTTTTTGAGCAGCCAAACCCCTTGCAAATGGTACAGAGCACATTATCTCCCAGGAGAGACAATAAGAACAGGACATGGTTTCTGAGGTACCAGGTTGTTACTCAGCACTGGCTTTGTTCCTGAGAGTTTTGCAAAGCAAGGAAATAACGTGGTGACTACCAAGTCCATAGTGAATGGGTGAGTAGCTCTGCTGTGGGTAGGTGAAGGTGTTCGTAGCATGTCACTGCTGGAGAAGGTGTCTGCTAGCCAGGTGTGTAACCGCTGTGTGTGCCTCATGACTGCAGTGTTGACATTGCTGTTGCAGTGCTGGAGGGACAGGAGTGCTCCTGAATGTGGATCGAGTGGCAGAGCAGCTGGAGGAGATGGGTTATCAAGGGATTCAGGTTCGAGGCTTGGCAGACTCTGGATGGTTCCTGGATAACAAACAGTATCGTAGAACCGACTGTATCGATACCATAACGTGTGCTCCAACAGAGGCCATCCGAAGAGGAATAAGGTACAATCAGATGCTCTCGAGTACACTGCTGTCAGAAATGAGTGTGGGGAAGATGTCTTCCTTCTTTACCTTCCTTCATTTTGGTACTTAATAATACTCTTTTCATAAAAGAGTATTTATCATCTACATCGGTGGGTTTTCAGTGATTTTATTAGACAAGACAATAATGTAGAATCTGGATGTGCAAAAGTACGTGTGCGGTTGTAGATGCTCTAAAATGTGTTGATAGGACAATGTGGCCATGAGAGAGCTGTGCTATCAGCTGGAACTCTAATCAGAACAGAAATAGACTGGGACATGGAGAGGCTGTTGTTAGGATTGCCCTGTGCCTCTCATTCTGTTACTGCTTTGTCTCCTAGATACTGGAATGGCATTGTTCCCGAACGCTGTAAGCTGCAGTTTAAAGAGGGAGAGGAATGGAATTGCTTTTTTGGATACAAGATTTACCCCACTCTTCGATGTAAGTATCAGAGGAGAGATATAAAATAGATTCTAGGGTTTCTTCTGTATCCTCAGCTAACTTAGAGCAACCCCTTTTCCAAATTTTTTGTCTTCCTAGGTCCAGTCTTTGTTGTCCAGTGGCTTTTTGATGAGGCCCAGCTTACTGTAGACAATGTACACCTCACTGGCCAGCCTGTTCAGGAGGGGCAGTGGCTCTACATCCAGAATCTGGGTAGGGAGCTGAGAAACACCTTGAAGGATGTGACGTAAGTGTTTCAGCAAGGGAAATCTGACACATTTGTGTCTAAGGGACTTTCTTGTCCAGTGTCCTAGCATCATGTCTGTTCTAAGGACTGTTCTAAGTTTGGTTCATCTACATCAAGAATCTTGCCTTTTTCATTCCTGGATAAAATTCCATCCTCTCCTTAGTCCAGAAGGTTCTCCTCATGAGAAGTTACTTTGTCTTTCAAGACATAATTCGTGTTTCCTTTCTTCCTTTAGCGCGAGCTTTGCTCCTGCCTGTTTGTCTCACGAGATCATCACACGCAAGTGAGTGTTTGTGCAGATCCTATGAGAGGTGAACAAACCCATCCTGGCAGCCCAAGCCCTCTGATGTGACCTATATGGTTTGTCTTTTCAGTCACTGGACAGACATCCAGGTGAAGGGGACATCGTTACCCCGTGCCCTGCACTGCTGGGATCGGAGCCTGCATGAGAGCAACAAAAATGGGAAGGCCCCTTTGAAAGGCTGCCCAATTCACCTGATTGACAGCTGTCCATGGCCTCACTGCAACCCCTCGTGCCCCACGATCAGGGACCAGTTCACAGGGCAGGAGATGAATGTGATCCAGTTCCTCATGCACATGGGGTTTGATGTTCAGAAGATGGCACAGCAGCAGGGCCTGGAGCCCAGTAAACTCCTGGGGATGCTCAGCAGTGGTAACTAGGGAGGGCTCATCAGAGGGGCAGAGATTAGATCAGGAGGAGAGAGACTCTCAGCCCTTCTCCCACACTTTCTAATCTTCTTCCTTCCGCTCCTGCAGGCAGATGCATGCTCATACCCACGCACGTGCACACCTGTGCACACCCACGTGCTCCCACACTCCTGCACACTTAGGGTGTGTCAAGAACAAAACGACAAAGAAAAAAGGCAATTTCTTGCTTACACTGTTTGGCTGGAACTTGTTCCCTCCAAACTCCAGGGCTGTTTCAGCTGGTCACATCCTCTTCCTGTGTTACACAAGGCAATCGGATACAGGGAGTAGCAAAGCCATAAATAGCAGCGATGAAAACCTTCCCCAGATCTGGGACGTCTTCCCTTGCCATGAGTTTTACATCATAGACTTGATACAAGTGGTGAAAAAAAAAGCAAGCACTGGATTTCTTCTGTCCAACTAGAAGTGGAGGAATGATTACATGACTTCCTGGAGGTCACCATCTCATGCTGAGTCACAGCAGACAGACCCAGGACACGTGCTAGGGATGGACACTCTTGTACTCAATTTATTCATATTATTTTATAAAATGACTTTTTTTATTACTTTTTTTTTTAAACTAAGCAAGAAATATAAATGATATTGTTTTGTAACATATTTTTTTTAAATAACGAAGAAACCTCTTGCTACTTTGGCAAAGTGGACATATTTATTTTAATATGTAAAACGCTATTTATAAGGGCTGACCAGAGAACCATACCTATGTCTTTGTAAAGTTGTATATGCTGCTCGTTTGGATGGGTTATCCTGATGGTCACTTGTGCCTGGGAGAGGGCTAAGGGTGGTGTTGACATTTTGTATTAATTAGACTTCTGTGTTCCCCTCGCAGTGTGTTTTGTCATTGTTTCTCTGGTGAAGAGGTTGTAATGTGAGGTTTAAGTGCAGCGACTTTCAGCCAGCACCTGATGTTTGCAGACTTGCACAGCATTTTCAGCTCAACTGTGATTTCCCAGGTACTCCAGGGCATTGCATCGTAAGGTGCAGGGAGATCTGGCTCTGCAGCAGAGGCCTCTCTTCCAGTGAGGGAAATGTTTGATCAGACCTTCAGAGGCATTTGGAACACAAAAGGCAGAGAACACAAGACAAGCAGTAACATATTTCTCTTCTCCTAGTGTTTGGGTACACACCCACTTCAGCACAGAGAATCCCCTTTGATGGTGGTGGGAGGAGAAGAAGGGAGGGATCCGGAATGTGTGGCTGAGGCTGGAGAGGAGACGGTTCGTGGGGTGGGAGCGCGGGCGGCTGCGGCACAGCTTCACCCTGCGGGGCAGCGTGGAGGGTGTGGGGAGACCTGCACGAGGAGCACAGCTCACTCCTGCTGCACAAGGCCCTGATTCCAGAGGTGTGTCTGCACCTGTGTCCGTGGTTACACAGCCTGGAGGCCACAGAGGATTGGGGCCCAATTGTAGAAAAATTCCCTGTGCTTTCCAGACAGACCTTGGCAGGTCAGAACGGTGGTGCTGTTGGTGAGGTCCCTTGTCTTGGGTGAGTAAACACAAAGAATGAACCAAACCACAGCCCTTTGGTTCCCCTTCACAGACTCAGGAAAAGTTGGGCATGTGGGGAATCAGCTGTCCTGCTGTGCACGATGGGATTAGCACATGTTGGAGACAAAAAAATAGCTAAAGAGAAAATGAATGGTGCTCCCAGCAGAACTGAAAAGCAGGAAAACATCAGTGGAGTTTCCCTGTGATCAGTTTGGAGATTACTGATATCCTTTATGTTTTAATGACTTGGGTATAAAAATTGTCCTGATTACATTTTTCATGTGTTTTCTGCTGAGCAGAAGCCAGTGACAAAAGGGCAAGACTGGAAGAATTCAGTACCATGTGTTTGTGTTCTTCAGGTCTTATAACCAGCTGAGGTTCTTTATCTCAGAGGAAAGGTGGCCGTGGTCCATCAGGTGCACTTCTCCACCAGTGTGATGTTGGGGACCTCTGCCAGCACTGCCCCCAATGCTGAGGGCTCTCCAGGGGGACACCACTTCCCGTGGGAAGCAGAAGCTGAGCAGCAGGACCAGCTCTGCCCCGAGCCCCAGAGTCACAGATGGGTCACAGTGTGCAGGACAGTGGAGGGATGTGTCCTCAGGTGTGCTGTGACATGGAGTGTCCCTGTGCTCTCCGTGATCCCTGGGCAGGTGGGAGGTGATGCACCAGGGTGTACCACAATACAGAGTAATACACTGCCAATGAGGTCTGGAAAACCTATGCCAGAGGTGAGAGATTAACAGAGACAGTCAGGAAGGACAAGACTTCGGGGTGGGAACCCGTTCCCCTGGAGCTCCTCGGCTCTTCTGCTGTATTTCCTGGTTGTTGTGATGTTAATTGTTCAACTTCTACCCTAAATGAATGCAGGTTTTGTCCTTCTAGCACCAGAGGTCTTTTTAAGGAAAGTGGGAGGGACTTGAATGAAAGAGACACTGAGGTTACAAGATAGTGACAAAGGCGAAGGTAAGTACATTTTATGCTAACAGCCACAAAATTTGTCCTCTTCTCATGTGAATCATTCTGTAAAGTTATCCTGCTTCCACAGTGGGATGAGCACTGCAGGTGAGGAGTCAGCAATGCTGCCGTGGGCTAAGGGAGGAATTTTTCTGCTATGTTGTGGTTTTCATTTTTCCCATTCTGAAACTACATCAGAAATTTTCTTTGGGGCTTTTAGAGTTAGAATTGAGAGACTTCTGAGTAGAGAGAAAGTCGTGGGCACTGTATACCAGGAATGGCTTCCTGGAAAAGCTTTGATCCCACAGAAGGGAGGGTTTGACACTATATATTAAATCTATGTTCCAAAACAGCTTAGAATATCAAAGCCATTTTTTTCCACAACTGTATTTGGTTGTGGCATTCAGAGGTACAAGAATAACTGGTTTCCATGTAAGTAAAACAGACAGGGAAGAGTTTAAGGAAATGGTGAGGACTGGTGGTCTAAACTTTCACAGCCACAAGTTCTCACTAATGCTCAAAGCACAACAGGTAAATGTATCACTGCTCCAGAACAAATGCAGCAAAGTGACTCAGCTTTTATCCAGCCTCTGGCCTAGATCCTTTTACAGGGTTTGTGCTGCCTTTGGGCTTGTGCCCCTCTGGGACTCTTGTGCCTGCGGGACTGAGCTCCTGTTCCTGCAGCAGGGCTGGAGCACAGCCCACGATCAGAGCCAGCCCCCTCCCCTCAGCACAGGGAGCTGCAGCGGCAAGAGCAGCGTCCCAGTGACCCCAGAGTTTTTAGAGGAACAGCAGGAGGATAACCAAGAGCCTCTGCTGGAGCTCACAGCTTCAGTGTTAAATAACACCGCTCCCAACAGCTGAGGGGGGGCAGGACTCATTCCAGAACTATTAATAAAGCCCCTATTTATACTCCAGGTTCCTGCGAACGGTAGAGCAGAAAGCTACAGCTGCGGAGCTAAAATGGAATAAATGTAAGCCTCCGGGGAAAGCACCATCCCGTGGGAAGGGAGACGGCGAAGGGACAGCACAGGGGCAGCGGAGCGG